TGCACAAACGTTAAAAAATAATTGAAAATTTCCAAAATACTTGATTATAATCAACCCCGAATCGCCTCGATTTCCTAAATAAATTTTAAATTCAATATATTTTATACGCTTTTAGATTATATCCAATTTTTTGTGCACTAAATCCAGAATAATTATAAATTTATTTCACTTAATATTTTTGTTAAATTAAAGTTATAGAATTTAAGAAATGCATAAAAGAAATAGTATTTATTATTTTGATATCAAGATCTTTATATCAAAATAATAAATACTATTTCTGAAATGGATTTCTTAAATTCTGTAACTTTAATACAACAAAAATATTAATTCTTTTGCTATAGTAGTCCAACTTACATCCTTAACCAATTTACTACATATTGAATATTACAAAATGTGAAACTATGACAGGGATTGTTTTATTTATTGATATCGATAATAATAAATAAATTTAAAATCAATATATTTTATACCCTTCTAGATTATATCTAATTTTTGGTGTACTAAATCCAGAGTAATTAAAAAATAATTTTTAAAAAATATGTAAATACTTATATAATTTTAATGATAAACTGTTAAAACGGTGAAAATTAATAGAGGGTGGGGGCGCTAGCAAAAAAGTCGCATGCGGGCGCTAAGGACTCCAGGACCGGCCCTGTATATATATATATATATATATATATATGCAATCTATTTTCTAGATGGCTGACGCGTTTCTATCGAACGCCCGGGACACGATCCCCATGCAAACAACGGAAAAATATTGTTTGGGTAGCGAGAAGGAGTCTATTCCGCCTGGGACAATGAATCAGAGCAGCAAGCTGGATAAAACTCAAATAAACAGTCAGGTCAAGAGGTCCAGGCAATTGCGAAATGGGCCAAAATTCAACAACAAAAACAGCAAAGTGAACAGGAATCATTAGGTAAATAGGAAAAACAAATCAATCGTTCCGCTTATTTAATTCTTTTTTATGATCCTAGTTTTGGCTAAGGAACATGTTTTATTCTTCTTTTTGCAAGTAACCTTGAAGTAGGCGTTTTCAATTAAAAGGTTGGATTCTCTATTAAGTTGATGCTGTGGTTAAGGATATGTTTATACAAGAAAAAGTATTTTTTTAAAGCTGTTATTTCTTCAAAATATGTCGCAAAGGTTTTTTAATTCTATTTTCAATAGCAATCAGAATACATGACAATTCTATGAGCTATTTGGCTTATGTCACTCACTCACACACATACACACACACTTGCAAACACACATATAAATTATCGGATAAATATTACAATCATATTTAGAGAATCACTTCAATAAGTGATTCTAATATTCTGTTCATATAAGGTTGTGGTAGTTCTAAGGTTCCTCCATATTATCTTCGGCAGCTTCTTCTTCAGTCTTCTTGAAATTGGTGTCATTAAATAAAACATCTTTCTGTATTTTATCTTTCTAAGTAAAAGTGCATTAAATTCAAATTTTTAGACATTAATATCAAAAAGTATTTTAAAATGGTTTGTTACGTATTTTTGTAAGTTTAATGACCAATTTGCAAATAATATTGTTTTAAAAAGGTGGCAGGTCCGATTTGGAAAATTGGACCATATATTGTGTCAACAGTTGATGCAATGGTTAAGGATATTTTTTTCATGAAAAATTATTTTCAAATGATTTGTTTTAAATATGTGTTTTTTTTTTAAATTATGTAGCCGAGACTTTTTCCATCTAAATTAAATAAAACATTTTCTGTTTTTTATCTTTCTAAATAAAATTGCATTAAATTGAAATTTTTAGACATTAATATCAAAAAGTATTTTAAAATGCTTTGTGAAGTTGAATGATCAATTTGCAAATAATGTTTTAAAAAAGTGGATTGTCCAATTTAAAAATTGCAGCCTCTATTGGGTCAACAGTTGAAGCGTTGGTTAAGGATATTTTTTGTATGAAAAATTATTCTTAAATGATTTGTGTTAAATGTGTTTTTAAATATGTAGCCAAGGCCTTTTCCATCGAAATTAAATAAAACATTTTCTGTTTTTTATCTTTCTAAATGAAAGTGCATTAAATTATTAAAAAAAGTTATATATTGATATAAAAAGTATTTTAAAATGCTTGTAGCATGTTTTTTGCAAGTTAAATGACCAAACGTTTTCCTTAAATTAAATAAAAACGAAAACAAACGATAGATTTGTCCAATACTTATTTTCACCATATAAAAGTATACTTAAAACTCGCATAACTCGCATTAAATTGTATTTTGAATAATTGTTTTTATGATTTTACTGGCAAACCCGACGAACTCCGTTTCGCCACCAGATAGTTTCGTGTGAAAGATGAAGAAATTTTTTGTTTGTTTTATATTTGAAAAGGAAAAATTTGATTTTATTACACAACAAACAGTAATTCGATTACAAAAATCGAAGTGTTTTTTAGTTAAACTTCTCTAAGTAAATGAAAGTGAATCCGCAAATTATCCGTTTCATTGAAGTACTCTTTGGTAAACCACGTTTTTTGTTTTTTGGTCTGACGTTAACGCAAACAAAGCGGATGGTTTTCAACTCGTGAACAGGCAACATATAACTGCTCATGTGAAAAACAATGATTCTAAATAATCTATTTGAAATTTATCCCGCAAACAATAAGCCTTGCGACTTGTTATTGCGAACGCAAGGCGAACTGGAAATTGCAATCGTTTGAAGTCCAATGGAAGACCAGACGGAATCATTGGTATGTCACCAAATTGCCAGCAATTTTTGATTGAATGGTGAAATTCAGTGCGTGTACATCATTATTATTTGCAGGAAGAATTGCTCGTTGACTTAACCAACCATAATTCTGATGATTCTCACTAATGTCATTACTCGAATTTTTAATTACGGTGCTTGAAGTTCCAGCAATTTGCATTAAGGCACGATTCCATGCACCATTAATTTTCTTAGCTATAAACCTTGCCCGAACCTTTCCAATGAATGCAAAATTGTCGAAATCGGTTCGTGCGTTCTGGAGTTATATCGTCAGGAAGGAAAACCCGATATATATATATATATATATATATATATATATATATATGTAGATAATCATTATATTTACTTTATTATTTCCTAAAACGCGTACGTAGATCCCGAATATTAATAACTCAAAATTATTCTATAAATCATACTAATAGTGAAACCGAATAAAATTATGATAATAGTTCTTTGGGAAAAGATGATGCACTTAACAAACTGTTTAACCGATTTGTTAACCGATCCATAAAATTTTAGTTTATAAAAGTTAATGACTTTGCTTGAAATATAAACTGCAATTAATTACAGTTTATAATAATTACACATTCACAGTTTTAATTTTGAAAAAAAAATGAAATCGCATGGGAGCTTCAGACGTACATTTAACTAATCTCATTGGTGGAACGAATTCAAGCATTTGAAGCAATGTATATAGTTTCTACATACAATCCGTCTAATATTGAGCTTTTATGAGATTAAAATAACTTTGATGGCATTTATTCAATAGACGTATTTTCAGATGGATTTGACGTTTACAATATCGAGACGGCTATGCCAGTTATTGATTTGGATGCGATCGAAGCACACCTCAAGGCAGCTAAGGAGGGAAGAAATGAGGGTAAGAAATTATTTTATTATATTATATATATTATATATATATAATAATATATATATATATATATATATAAGTCCAATTGCTTTTTAACGTGTTCTAGCAACTAGTTTAATTTCGATTTCTTCTAACTACTATAAAACTTCTTTAAGTTTGAAAGTTTCAAACTTTCTGCATCATTGTACTGTGGATTAAATGAAGCACTTTGAATTCTGTGCTATAAGTATACAAACATACTCGGAAGAGGAAAAAAACGAAAGCCACCAAAGCAAAATAATATTAATCTAGATTCATGCACATAGTTTAATTTTATATGATTCGCTTCGCTTAATCTTGCGATTTGAACAGGGTTAGATGAGTAATATATCTTTTGATATTAGTATTAGGTTAGTAATATATCTGCATATATCATATAACAGGAGTAGACTCAAAGGTCTTACTCTAATAATTTTTTATGAAGGCTTTTTCATCATACAAATTTTCTTCAAAATCGTCAAAAAGAGCTTTTTTATTAATGATTTACAATAAAAAACGGCCCGGCCGATTTTCACTAATATCTAATCAACACTATTCCCAACTTATATCTTTCAAACGATTTTACGTATTTTGCACTTTTCTGCTAAAGAAACGACTCGGCGGATCGTTGCCAATAACTAATCGACGCGAGTCCTCATCGATTTTCATCGAATGGTTTTCAAATTTTTGAAATCGGTGCTATAAAAATGACGACCAAAGGTTCAATTTTACACACCTTACTTTCAATTTTGGTCTCAAATGATTCAGAATGACTTGAAACGCCGAGAATACGTAAAACTAGTATATCGGATTTTCTGGAGAATATATGAACATCTTCTACGGGATGTTAGATGATATAATGGAAAATATCAGTAGTCCCCAAATCCATTTGTTAAAGGCGTCCATGATGATAGTTATATTTTTTTAAACATAGATAATATATGAATATTAAATAAAATATATATTTTGTAAATTATTGATTATACTATTGAACCCTGTTATTGAAACGTGTGAAGATTCGTCACGTTTCTAAACAAATTTTATTGACAGTTTTCACTAATTCAAAGAAGCAGTTAATTCATCATTGAACTCGTAACGATATTCAAGAGAGTGATATAGAATTGATTTTAAAATTAAAATTTGGTTGAGAATCGACCTGATCAGTTTTTGGTAAAGATCGGCCGGGCCGTTTTCTTGTAATAAAGTGTTAAAAAAAAATTCGACGATTTTCATGATTTTTTTTGTGATAGATATCATGGTCTTCTAGATCATATTAAATTATTACGGCCCTACGACAAGTCATTTAATTTTGAAAATTCGTCAAAGTTTGCAAAAATTAGTATCGTTTTTTGGCGTTTGTCAAAATTAGAGCTTTCATCGACGTTTGCTCAAAAACGCCTGAACCGATTCCAGAAATTTAAAAGCCATTTGATGTATCTCGATGAGGATTATCGTTTGTCAGTTTTGTGCGACGATCTGCCGAGCCGTTTCTTTGTTATTTGTAAAAAAGTGTTAACTTTTCGTCCACATTCAAGGTTATACTACAGAATCGATTTTAAAACATCAAAAACTGTTCGAAAGATATTGGTTGGAAATCTACCGAGCCATATATCATGGTCTTATAGAACTTACTAAAATATTACGGCCGTATGACCAGTAGTTTAATTTTAAAAATTCATCAAAGTTTGTGAAAATGAGTAATTTTTTGACGTTTTTTGAAATTAAAATTAGACGACTTGTTATAACGATAGAGTACTTGCTCTTAATGAACATTAAAGTCCTACGGAAACTGGTTCAATTATAAAAATTGTTGATTTTTGAAAATTTGCTTTTAGAAAATACTCCGAGTTAACGTGTTCGTTCGTTTTCAATTATGTGTAATGAATCCACTCGGAAAACGTTTAAACACTCATAAATAAATTTATTTTTTATTGATTAAGTCGATTATTTACACATATCGGGAAGTTTTTAACTTGCCTCAAGGCAAAATACTAATACTAATTCATTTTTATAAATAATCCATTTATTGACAGCCCTCGATTTATGATGTGTGTGCTCATCCAATGAAGAGACCTCGAAATAAAATATAACATGCTAGTTCTGCACAGTTCAACGCATTGGCTTTCACCGCGAAAACGCGCACCATTCGACATCACATTGTAATTATTTTGCCTCAGAAATATGTTATTGTTTTCAAACGTGGTCAGTACTGTTAAATACTCAAAATAGTTACAATCGTTCTATTATCAATCTTTTATTATATTGCTAATTAATTTAATGGCGATTTCCTATAAAATTCATTCCAATTGTGTGTGATTTCTTTTCTGTAATTGTGGAGTGTTACTGTTATTATTTTGTGCTTTGAGAATGGGTTCATTGGCAAATATGTCGAAAGCAATTAAAAGACATTACAAAAAGGATTCACGATTTGTTATGGATTTATACACGTTGACTTATGATAATCATGAGTCATTGGATTCATTAACCGAAGTTGTGAGTATTATTGAGCAGATTTACACAGCTTTGCTTTTTTCATTGCTAGAGAATTGTGAAGAATTTATGAATTTTATTATGAAAAATCAAGTGAATTTTTTTTGAGGTGTAATCGTGCACAAACAGATAGTGTTCTTTATCTAGATCGTGTTTGCCCTAATTTACTTACAAAAAAACTAACTATTTAATTAAATTAAAATCATATTTATTGCAATTTATTTTTAAAATGCTGATTTCTAAAACTAATTACTCGTCGTAGTATTGTGAGATTTGAACTTGATATGAACATTGTCAACTAGTAATATAATAAATAATAATAATAAATATCGATGCTAATTGAAATTGCGTGTTTCTCCTTATAATTAATTATATTATTAGAATTACATTGGCATAATTTTTAAAAAGATAATAGTTTGGTATGGTGCTGATTAGTTTTTGGTAAAGTTTAGCTGGACTGTTCCTTTGATTACAAAGATTTTTTATAAAGGTTTTTTTGCGACTTTAATGAAACTTTGTATTGCGATAGTGTTTGTGGTCTTAACTTAGTCTTAGGGAATATACTAATTTTATAAGTCTAGGACAAGTGGTTTAATTATAAAAATCCATTAAAATTTGAAATGATGGTTTCAAAGCATACACCGTGTATGTTGGGTATACAATTATATATATTCTAGCTGATCCGGCAAACGTTGTTTCACCATGAAAGGTTCTGGTAGATTTTTTTTAAATAAGTCGAAAATTTACAAATTTATTGTAAGTATGTAAGGATGTGGTTTATGAGCGGTAAAAGCAATGAGGTAATACAAAAACAATAAAACCCCCACCCCAGGTGGTTATATAAAAAAACTGTTGAATCTCACTAAAAGTTAACATTACATTTTATAAAACAATTAAAAAGCGTATAGGTAAAATTTATATTATTCATAGTGCTCACAACCCAAACAACAACGAAAGGAAATACTTTTGTTATGGATTTTCAAAGACTACCGTTTATACCCGAATAGCAAGATGATTGCTATGGTTATATATCTTTTTCTCTCTACTTTCAAATATTGTTGTTGAACGATCCTTAACTTTACTGGTTTTAGAGATATTGGTTGTACATCTTATTAACCCCAGATCTTCAAATATAACTGAATATATTGCTCTAAATTTATCGAAGACTATTTATTCTTCGACAAATTCATAGCAAATTTTGTGTTTTCAAAATTAGTGGAAAATAACCATTAGTGATTTATATTTTACATTGCATTATTAAATGGTTTAATTCAATACAAACTTCCAGAGATGAAGTTTTTCATCTTTTTCAATTTATTGAGAAATTTAATGAAACATGGAGGATGTCTGACTGTGTCTAAAATGTTTAGGTTTGACATAGGTAGAACATTTGTCAAGCCTTGAAAATATATACATAGTGAATAATTTTTCTGCTAAACTTGTTCTAATACTGGAAATGTTGAATCTTAAGAGAATGAGAGCTTTAGAATCAATTTTCAAAATATTTCATTCCAGAGACCTTGTAATTTTGTGCATTGGCATTTTTACAAAAGTTGAGAAAAGCCCGTTTAATAACGTTTTTGTGTATAAATAAAAGTACAAACAAAACAACTTAATACAATTGAATTGAATAATATTTAACTAAAACATCCTGTTAAATGTAATTGATCATTATCTGTCAAAAACATATGACATTTGACGTATGAGCCACCGTCCATTGTTTTATTTAAATTACGCTTCTACAAAAATTTTCGAATAAAAAATGTAAAGTTTCTACCTATGGATTAGCACGAATTTTTTAAAATTAAGACTGGCCAATCCGTATATCCATTTTAACGTTTTACCATACCTAACATTTTATTGAGCTCCATTTTTATATATAAGAAGATAAGTTAATTTGAAAGATTTCAATTGCAAATCGCATTGGTTTACTTTATAGTGAATGAAAAACTTTAGTTTTAAAAAGAACGTTGAATTAAATAGCTTATTCTACATTTATATTAATTAAGTCGATCATTTACACATATCAAGAAATTCATGCAATTTTTCTGAAGGTATTTTATAAAATAATTTGTCTCTATAAAATTTATACTTGGCTGTGATTTTTTTCATAAATAACGTCTTATACTAGTTTTTCTATTTAATTTACAATAGAATAAGTTATACTGCAGTGATACCAGAAATTCATGCAACTTTTCTTAAGGTATTTTTAAAATAATTTGTCTCTATAAAATTTATACTTGGCTGTAATTTTTTTCATAAATAACGTCTTATTCTAGTTTTTCTATTTAATTTTCAATAGAATAAGTTATACTGCAGCAATACCAGAGAGTAGAAATTCATGCAACTTTTCTGAAGGTATTTTATAAAATAATTTGTCTCTATAAAATTTATACTTGGCTGTAATTTTTTTCATAAATAACGTCTTATTCTAGTTTCTCTATTTAATTTTCAATAGAATAAGTTATACTGCAGTAATACCAGAGAGTAGAAATTCATGCAACTTTTTTGAAGGTATTTTATAAAATAATTTGTCTCTATAAAATTTATACTTGGCTGTAATTTTTTTCATAAATAACGTCTTATTCTAGTTTTTCTATTTAATTTTCAATAGAATAAGTTATACTGCAGGCAGTAATACCAGAGAGTAGAAATTCATGCAACTTTTTTGAAGGTATTTTATAAAATAATTTGTCTCTATAAAATTTATACTTGGCTGTAATTTTTTTCATAAATAACGTCTTATTCTAGTTTTTCTATTTAATTTTCAATAGAATAAGTTATACTGCAGTAATACCAGAGAGTAGAAATTCATGCAACTTTTTTGAAGGTATTTTATAAAATAATTTGTCTCTATAAAATTTATACTTGGCTGTAATTTTTTTCATAAATAACGTCTTATTCTAGTTTTTCTATTTAATTTTCAATAGAATAAGTTATACTGCAGTAATACCAGAGAGTAGAAATTCATGCAACTTTTTTGAAGGTATTTTATAAAATAATTTGTCTCTATAAAATTTATACTTGGCTGTAATTTTTTTCATAAATAACGTCTTATTCTAGTTTTTCTATTTAATTTTCAATAGAATAAGTTATACTGCAGTAATACCAGAGAGTAGAAATTCATGCAACTTTTTTGAAGGTATTTTATAAAATAATTTGTCTCTATAAAATTTATACTTGGCTGTAATTTTTTTCATAAATAACGTCTTATTCTAGTTTTTCTATTTAATTTTCAATAGAATAAGTTATACTGCAGTAATACCAACCAAACTTTTGTGAACTGGTAACCCTGTTTCATCCTACCTTCACAAAATTTTCTTCTCATCTGTGCTTCTTCTGCATCTGCAGCTGCCAAACATCTGCTCTTCCTCAAATATTTTTTATGGTTATGTGATAGTTTACTGTAAATAATAAATATGATCTTGAAATGATCTAGTTCAAATTTATATTTAGCTTAGTGTAGTTTATTTAAATAATTTATTTTAATTTTAATTCAAGAAAATGTTTGAAAAGCTCATCTCTCAAATTAAAATCACTGCTAGTGCATTAGGAGATGTTTTGAGTTCCAGAAATAATATAGATTTTAGTATCCGTGATCAATATAGTAAAATTAATAATTTATTAAGTGATTCAAATAGTTCATACGATTTTCCTCCAAGATCTCATATTAGAGGAGCTTCTAATATTTATTTGGATTTATGTGTGCCAAAAACAGATGAAGATAAATTTTTAACACATGTGCCTAAAAAGCTTGACAACAAATATGATTGTGAAGATGGAGATTTCTTTGATAGAGTAATAATTTATTTTGCATGGAATAAAATAGGATAATAAATAATTTAATTATTATATATGCTTGAATATACATGCAACTTTATTTAATAAAATGTAGAGCTCATCATATTAAAAATTAATCAATAAAGAGTTTGTTAATTATACAACAGGCAGTTAATTGGTTCATTCACTTTTGTGAATTTAAATAAACTTTATATTTTAACTAAAAATCAACAGAACTTTAATATACAGTACTCTATAGTCTACATTCTCATTAAACTTTGAAAACTTTTCAACTGCAATATTTGATCAGCTGAATTATTTCTCTCTAATAATTAATAATGTACTTTTAAAATAATGAGCAACTTATAAATGTAAGAGAGCTTTAATTATCTAATAATATTTAATTTTATTAGTCATTTAGAAATAATTTTGCTATTAACACTAATAACAAATTATGTATTTAGCAATCTCTTTAAAAAACCTTAAATATAATTTTATCTCAGATTTGTCTTAAGTTTCAATTAAATTGTTTAGAAATTATTAGCTTAGAAAAATATATTAAGAATGTTTATCGCTTAAATATAATATTATTAAATATTTAATATTATTAAACATATTTAACACAAATCTTCATTTACTCTATGTGAATTTTGCACTATGTACAAAATTTTATGGAATTTTGTCGATTTTTACAGTTGATAAACTGTTTTTTTTATTTGCAGAGGAGAACAGATAGAGAAGAAATTAGAAGGCGTCTTGCAATGGGCCCAGAACCTGAAAATTTCTCAAAAGCACCTCGAAAAAAAAGTTTACAGTCACGATTGCAAAGTGGGATGAATCTACAAATATGTTTTATGAATGATGTTTCTGATAATGAAGGTTTAACATCTGAAATAAATGTACAGGTATTATATAACCACTTATTTATTAATAAATATTTTTTATCGAGATACTAAATATTGATATTGGAAAGAAAGGTTGTACTCAATCCAAATTTAAATTTCTTTACTATTCTTAAAAACTTGTTTGAATACATTGGACTAAAAATATAAGTATTTGAACTTGTTTTTAAGAATTGTAATTAATAAAAATTATTATTTCGATTGTTAAAGGAAAATGAAAAACCTGCATTAATGTCCGAAACAATAGGGTTATCAGAAAATACTATTGTACCACCAAATCACTTCAAATCTATAGATGAACCAAATACGGATGCAAATGGTAAATATTGATTTAAAGTTATTCTCTGTTTATTTAAGTTATGTAGAATATATTTAATTTTTTCTTTCATTTATAGAAAGATCTGGTTTATTAACTATTCAAATGCCAAAGACTGAAGAAGACTTTTTTGCTTGCCAAGCAAGATTGCAAGTGGAAGCGAGGCTAGCGTTAGCCCAAGCTAAACAAATGGCTCATATGCAAATGGAGGTAAAATATAAAAATATAATACACAAACCATTTTGAAGTACATAAAATTATTTTTATCTATTAGTTCTAGAATAAATTAATAACAAAATCAATATATTTATCTAGATGTGGAAATAATATTATGTACAACAACTTTCAGCAGAATTAATTAAGCAATGAAATTTAAAAATAATATGATGGTGTAAATATTTTTTTTCAATTTTTTTTAATTGGAAACTAATTAAATGCTAATGTAAATATGGTATAATATTTATTTTTTAAATATATTATCTATTATAGTTAGAAAGGCAAAAACAAGTTTCATCCCCCATTACTGATGTAATAAGATCTGCTCTCACAACTGTTGGATGTGCATCACCTGAACATCACAGAAGACTCTCCCGGCGTTTGTTGACCAGCATGACGATTGCTCAATTGCAGGTTGTTGTTTGCCGACTCCATACACAGGTTGAAATATTTAATGAACAGTTGGTGGGCTTATTAATGAATCGTGATGAACTTCATATGAGCCAAGATAGCATGCTGGTTGATATAGAGGATTTAACCAGATACCTGTAAGTGTTTAATGTAAGTGCTTCTTTCTTATTTTGTTCGGCTGTTAGTTATAAGGTGTTACCTTTTTTTTATAGTTTAACTGTATTGATCAGTTTCTTCACTTTAATAGTTTTTTTACAAAATATTTATTTTTGTTTTTGCTTGCTATTATTAAGACTGCCTCTACCAAATTAATTATAATATTGCCTGAGCTATGAGTTTGGAAAATACTAATAAATTTCATTTAGTTTTATTTTACTAAATAGGTATTTGTGTGGAAGCATCAGAGATAGTGTTTTTATTTTACATCTTTTACAATCTATTGGGTTATTTAAAGCCTAAAAATGTTCTTTAGTGCATCAACAATAAAAAAATGTTTTTTACAAATATTTTAGTGGTGCCAAAGATTCGACTGTAAAGAAATCAGAAACCAAAACAAGAAAGCAAAACCAAAAGAAACCTAATTTGGACAAGAATAATCATTTACAAAGGATATCGCATATGATACGAAAATGAGTAAAATTCATTAGATTAGGTTAAGTAGTAAATAAAGTAAGCGTAAAGTATACTCATGAAAATTATCAAAACTAAAGAATCGTTTTTATTATTGCAACATTAAAGTGGTTACTCATAAAATCATAAAAAGGTGGAAAAGATATAAACCACAGAAATCTGTTGTTGAACTTTTCACATAAAATGAATCAATATTCATACGTATTAAAGATCTCTTACATAATTAATTTTATAATAACGTTTACTTATAATGGAATAAATTTCATTATTTTAAAGTCAACTTTAAGTAAATTTTCACTATAATTAAATTGTAAGAAAAACATATACTCAAGTTATCAGATTATTTGTAATCATTTGATAAACTTATTATTTTACAAATTACTCACAATGCTGCTTAATGTCCTTCTATTTAAATACAGCCCTGTTTGCATTCTCATTGCAAAAAATAACTCTCGCATTAATTTTATATATCTGATTTGTATCTATATGAATAAATATATTGTGTATAAATTTTTTACCTAAATTATTGAGAGTGTGCTGCGAAGAGATGAAGAATTTATTTAATATTAAGATTCACTTTGTAAATATTTGTGACACTCAAAGAAAGCTCAAATTGTATTATATTATTGTTTAATATAGGATAAATAAATGTTTACATTTTTTGCAAATATTTGCTGGGAATAAATTAGCCTTTTTAAAATGATCTAGAATATTTTTAAATCTAATGCTTTTATCAGGAAAGTAAAATTACAATGCTTGATTTATTTAGATATCTTATTTTATAGTAAATGAGCAATTCATATTTATTAGAAACAAATGCAAAGCATTCCAGAAATAATCCTTATTATTCAATTTAACATTTGGCCCACAAAATGTTGGGATTAAAGTTAAAACACTATCTATTTTCATGATGCACAATTTCAAAATTATTATTTGTAATAATTTTTCAGAAACTTTATAAATTTAAAACATATTCTTATGGATATATTATTGATAATTTTTAATGTAAATAGCAATATTACTGGAATAGCATACTATATATATCATGTTTTAAAATATATTTTCAAATATTATCATAATTCCATGAAACATATCTGCTAAATAAATTTACTATATCATTCTTTATCTTTCTGTGATTTTTAACTATCATAATTGTACCTTCATAGGAAAACGTCCAACATTGTATGTCAGTTGCTTAGTATGAATGAGTTGTAGATAAAGCAATTATTAAAATTTTCTTGGAAACATTTAGTAATGTAATAATTATTATTTAGTTATAACTATTCATTTTTCAAAAACCGACTTTAATCCATTCACAAAATAAATCTTTACGTAAATATATATATATATATATATATATATATATATATATATATACTAAAGAGTTTGTATTATTGAATGAATTACATACGAAATTTAATATTATTTATCTTATTTAAAGTATATCTAATATTTGTTCAGTATTACTTTAATTTTACATTATTGTTAGCACATTACAGCTGTATGCCTAAGCATCTAAAATATTTATTGGATTATAATAAATGTTGTCTTTTATTTACTTCTGATAATCTGAAGGTGAAATAATTTAGCAACAAAAGCTTATAATGCAGTTATATTTATACTTTCATTGTTTATAATATTTAAAGTTTATATATTTTGAAAGATTGCTGATTAGTAATAGAACAACATTTATCTTATTATTTATTATTTTTGATTATAATAAAGTGATTAATATAAAAAATCCCAAATAAAGAAATGTGTAGAATAAATATTAGCTAATATTTAGTAGCATATAAATTCTATAGGATTTATCCATTCTATTTTTGCAATGAGATATATTATCGATTTGAATATTCTTCTTATCTGCATATATTTTGCTGATGTTATTAAATTTTATCAATAAATTTAAATACAAAATTAATCTCTGTCATATTTATTATTCTTGCTGAATATTGTAACAGAATTTTATACTTTATCTTTGATTTTATCAAGAATTTTAATTTATATTATTTCGTTTTGCAATTAAAAATTAGTTTTAATTTTTATAATCATTACGTCAGTATACTAAATTTAATTGAAGATTAAATTTAACATTAGAAGCAATTGCAATTTAATTAAAAATAACAATTTTAAAGTAGAGAGAATATTTTGCATATTGAACATATTGCAGTGACCCTTGATATACGTTTGTAATTCAATTATGTAATTTTATATAAGCTAAATTTTCGAAGTTTTTGCAACAAATATATAATTTTGTTTAATACAAATATTTGAATTATTTAAAATCTCGCGCCATTGTAGTGGCCTTCATTGTACTGGCGAGTATCGTGTTTCTTCGCACGTAACTTCAGAGAAGTGTTTTTTGACAAATAAACATTGTATTGTGCGAAACGTCAGTTCTAAAGTGAAAAGAGGGTGAAAAGCACTAAGAAAATAGTTCGTAAATGATTTGGAAATTACGGCATCTGTTACGAAATTTTTTTAAAAAAAGCCCAACATATTTAGGGGGCTAGTTTTTTATGATATGGGCAATAACCACTCCAATTTTTTTGGGTTTAGTGGTGATGATCATCTAATGGACGTGGATGATCTAAATATTGAAAACGATTCAGATGCTGCAGAAGAAGATGAAGATTATGATTTAGCTACTATTCTACAGATACTTATAAGAAGGTAAAGATGCGTGGCCATAATGTCAAATTTTACATGTCGCTTTTTTCAAGTTGTTCTGAAAAGCCAGATGACTTTCATTAACATGTGTCTTCCTACTATAGAAAAACTGTCAATCTGCTAAACACCACAAAATGTTTGTTTTTTGGATTTTGTAGACACATATATTAATCAGATCACTTTGAGTAATATTATTTCACTTATACTTTAAGATCTTTTCTTAAAATATGATACCTTGATATATTTTGTTTCAAAATTGCTTGTACTATAATATTTCTATTAGTTGTCTAGATTAGTAATATATAAAATGAAGCTATTTGTAATTCATTATTTAATTGAAACTGACATAATTACTTTAGTATTAAATATGCTACAACCAGCTGATAAAATATTATAGTATTTTAACATAACATCTAACATTCCTATTTTATTACTTAAATATATTGCATCTGCCAGATCTCAATAAATAATATTGGTATGCTCATTGTCAGACAATAAGCTAAAAATATGAATTAATTGATTACTTGATTATGTTTCTGTATAATATAAGAATTATTTGACAATTGAAATACAGATAATAAATATGTATTTTTAGTGGACAAGTTCATATTGTTTCATATGATGAAGGTGTTAGAAGAGCAAACAATGGTCTTCATAATGTTAAACTGCCACCAAAAAACAAAAGAAAATTAAATACAAAAATGTTAGATGTAAGTACCTTCATTGTATCATCTTGGAAAACATATCGAACTTTTTTTTTGAGCTTTTTACTAGTTTTATACTTGATAATTGAGTTATAATAAAGTAGAATATTTTTTCTGCTAAACAGAGCATGAAAAATTGATAAATTTATTTTAACTCATTTTTCTTAATTGAAAAGACGTTTTCCAACTTTATGTAAAGAAATATATAACTATTGACTATATGACGAATATATAACTATTGACGAATATGAATATATACTTATATTCATATTTATTTCTTCATATAAAATGTTAACTCATTTTATTATTGTACTGTCTATTTACAGTCAAAAGTTCGTTTTGTTCGCCATGAAATTATATATGTAAATAACAAATTATTGATTATAATAATGGTTTTAGAAAAGTCAAGTTAGCATAGAAACAAAACGAGCCTGTGGGCTCAACATTGATGATGATGTAAATAGAAAGATATCCATAACTGACCTTATAACTAAAAGACAGGTGTGTATATAATTAATTATTAAGCCAATTTGTTTGAGTCAAGTTCTTGCAATATAACATTATTGGCTGAATTTATATAACTTTAATTTTCAGCATGGATTAGCCAAAGCTGGAAGCCAATTCTCTAGACAAGAAAAATGCCAGATAAATAATATTTTTCTACCAAATACTATGAAATTAGCAGATAAAGCACATTCTAAATTCTTTTGTGGAATGTATTCGAAAGATGGTAATAGGTTCCTTTCTGCATCACAACGTAAGTTGTTGCATTATTTAGATTTAAAATTTAAAGTTAGTAATAAATAGTTAGAATTGAAAAATATTTTATTTTCAGAGAGTGATTTGAGAATATATGATGCAAATACTCCAAACTTTTATATAATTAAAGAATACAGAGCTCAAAATGTTGGCTGGAGTATTATTGATACTGCATTTAGTCCATGTGGAAAATATATTTTATATTCTAGTTGGTCAGATAATTGTAAGTACGTGCGATTTCTTAAGAATTGATGAATTTCAATATTTATATATATTTTTTTATAATGTAACAAATATTATTAAACTATTTTGATATATTTTATGCTTTTCAGTATATTTATGTAACTTAGAAAGTGAAGAAGAGACCCATAAAGCTTTACCTATGTTTCCTGATAATCACAGATTCTGTATATTTTCACTGATGTTTTCAAACAACGGCCAAGAAATTTTAGGTGGTGCTAGCGATTGCAACATATATGTTTATGACATGGAAGCTAATACTAGAAGTTTGAAGGTATATATATATATATATATATATATATATATATATATATACTTAGGTATAGATAATACATAGGTACAGATAAGAAAATATATACTTAGGTATATGTTTTCTTATCTGTTTATTTGCCACTTGTATTCTTATCTGTTTATTTGCCAGAATATTTTTGTATCAAATTTCTTTCTTTTGTATCAAATTTCTTTCTTTGTATCAATTTTTTTTCATTTGTATCATATTCTTTCTTTTGTCAAATTTGATAATTTTGAAATTTTTATTAGGTGAGGTACAGAAAGCATCTTAGCTGCATTATATAATTAATTATAAATACCATTTTCAGTTTCATGGACATGAAGGAGACATAAACACTGTAACATTTGCAGATGAAACATCACAAATATTATATAGTGGAGGTGATGATGGATTTTGTAAGGTATTATATTTGATTGTTCATTTTATTTTTATCACCGATATGATAAAACAAAAATTAATTTATTTCATTGTACTAGGTTTGGGATAGAAGGTGTTTAAATGAAGAAAATCCGGAACCTGTAGGAATATTAGCTGGGCATAAAGATGGAATTACTTTTATAGACTCCAGAAATGATGGTAGACACTTAATTTCCAATTCCAAGGATCAAACTATAAAATTGTGGGATATAAGGTAAACAATACTGTAGATGAAACATTAAAAGATATTTTAATGTTATAGAATTTTTACCTGTATTTTAATACTTATATATTATATATAACATATCTTGTACCGCTAGTACTTTAGTATGTTTTCATATATATAGCTTGGATAAGAAACTTTCTTGTTTGTGTTCATTATTTGATTCTATTAGGTTCATTCAAAAAGTTCTTTAATATTTTGTTTTTTTTTTTCAACAATTATTTTAATGCCAAATAATAACTCATATTATTAACAATTACCAAAATAATAATTCTTATAATACTAATTGAATTTCTTGTATACAGAGTATTTTCAGATGAAAAGGGGCAAAGTAATACAAGAAGAGCTGTGAATAATCAATCTTGGGATTATAGATGGCAAGCAGTACCATCAAGTTGTAAGAAATTTTTATATTAATAATTCAAATTTTAAATTCTCTTTGCGTATTAGATTTTAAGATATATTTTATTTGTTTTAATTTTTATATAAATTTGTTTAAATTCTTGTATTTTGACACACTATCATATTACTCACACATTTATTTTTTCATAAACATCTTGAAACTGTAGGAATATAAATTGCTCAATTTTGTTTTATTTCAGTGTTTAGTAACATGACAAAGCTAGATGGTGATACATCTGTGATGACATACAGAGGACATTCTGTGCAGAAAACATTAATTCGGTGCCGGTTTTCACCTCCTCACACCACAGGGCAAAGATTTATTTACACTGGCTGTGCTGGTGGTCGAGTTATAAGTAAGAATATAAGTTCTTTAAAATATCAGTGTAACAATGAGTTTATTATCTTTTTATTAAAATATTTTGTTCAAATTCCTAAAGAAATATTTTTATTTCTCATTTGAAATCAGTCTTTTCCTCAATTAGAAAAGATTAACCTAGTTTTTAAATAAAACAATTTAATCTTTGTACTGTACACACGAAACAATATTTTAATATTTTTTTTATTTTAGTATATGACATGCTGAGTGGACAAATCGTTCAAGAATTGAAAAATGGCCATTCAAGCTGTGTAAGAGATGTACATTGGCATCCATATAGATCAGAAATAATTAGTTCATCGGTAACTTGTTACATATATTACTTTATAATACATTTTCTTTTTTTCCTTTTTAATTAGCATACAGTGAATAATAGTGTTTACTAAATGTCAACATTATGTTATTTATTATGTTTATATTTGAATCTTAGTGATATGCATTATTGTTTCTTTGTAACTAAAGCAGACAAGATGAAGACTTGGGATTTTGTTAAGAATCATAAAAGGCAGACTAGATTAAAATTTGATTTTTCTATTATTATGCCATTGAATTTATACAAATCAATTTGTTATTTTGATATAATCACAGTACCCTAAATATTTTTCCTAAATCTATTACAACATTCTAGAAATGCTTAAATTATATTGTTAATTATTCTACTGTTAATTCAGTAAAAAATCAATCATTGGAAAATTTAGGTAATGAAAATAATGCTCTTTTTTATAGTGGGATACTACATTAGGCAGATGGATATTTCAATGTGCGGATGAAGAAGAAGAAAGAGAACGAGAACGTGAACGTGATGTGAAACCTCCTCATCTTCGACTTCGTAGATCAACAAGAATTAAGGAGCGTCAGGAACGTGAAAGAGAAAATTCTAATACTGAGTAATGTTTTTAATGACAATAGTAGCATAAAGATTATGATTTATAAAATGCAGAAAGCTATATTATTTATTATTTGTATTTACTTACAAATAATTATGAATTTAACTACAATATTTTACGAATAGAAACATACTTTTTTTCTACATTGGCGATTATGCAAATTACTCCGCTATATTTCTATTTTACACTAACAATAAGATAAGAGTTGAATTTTTTTATGTTTTGAGATATGTTTATACATAATCATGTGTATAAAATTATAAAAACCGATTCTACACAATCTGTTTTTATTAAAAATTATCTATATAATATTTTATATATGAAAAAAATATATTAACTATGACAAAATTTATTTTATACATTAATTTAGTGTATATATTGTAAATATATAAAATAATGTAAGTTTTCACCCATACGTTTGCTTTTACTTATTTATAAATTACTATAATTTTTTTCATTTTGTGTGTTTTGTGGGAAGGCAAGTTATTTGCATACCAGGGTATTATGAATGTTTTTGGGTCATTTTTATTCGAATTCATTATTTTTCTTAGTAGTTTTTAGATGAGGGGACAGGGAGTAATTTCTTGTACTAAATCTAATGTGTAAGGCAGATAGTCATGCAATTCAAACTGTAATTCCTACATTTTCAGAACATAATTTAGATTTTTTAAGTACGTTATTGCAGACCAAAATTATTCAGTTGTTAAGTTAAAAACAGAGAACCGTTAATTGTTTTAATGAAAATGTGAAGTATTATTTCAGGTATTATAGTTTGAGTATAGACAGAATATGTTTATCTTCTTGTTTTCTCAATGTTCCAAGTCATGAATCGTTTGACTCTATACATTTGGAAAGTATGTGAGCCTAAACTTGATCTCTTCGACGTTTTTGTCAAATACGGCTGCCATATGATGTAACTTTATAAGAACTAGCATTGATTAGTTTTGGGAAAACCGTTTGAAATATACCATTTGGACATCGTTCTAAGCTCTTCTTTTATCTATGTTTTAAATACTCTTCTTTTATCTATGGTTCTAAATTAATTTTGGTAAATATTGGTCATGCCTTTTTTTAATAACTATTGAACAACATTTTTTGATGAAAATTTGATTAAATTCGCTAAAATATTATAGGCCAGGCCTACGATAAATTATAAAAAAATATTTTAGTTTGGAATAATGTGGAGAAAATGTGTTAAAAAAAAATAATTTAATTTATTCAGAGTTCCACAACTACTTATTAAATTACTTATTTTAAAAATAATACTTGAGAATTTTATCTATAAATAGCTAAATTACTGTTGATTTGGATTTTAAATTTTAAATATTTGAATTTTATCTATAAATAGCTAAATTACTGTTGATTTGGGTAGTTATTTAGGATATCGGGCGGTTCGTGCAGCTTGCCTTAAGTTATTTTTATATTTTTAATTATTCATAAAATATTTTTATGTATAATTGATTAATATTCCAGCATATAAATCCAATTTATTGATACACGTATAAGAATTTAAAATATTAAACCATGCCGCGGTCTTTGTTTAAAATTCATAAATGGGTCATGGTTTGTTATCCTGCTTATCATGAAGAAAAATTAATTTATTTGTGTATTACTTCATAGTTTACAAATTATTATTTATAAAATAAAAATAGATCGATGTATGGCAACACTTTTTTCGACGTTTAATTTTAGAACAGGAAAACAAATTCACTGAACCACTCTTGATTTTGATACAAGTGCAAAACGTTCAAACCGTTGTTTCAGTGTTTCAACTTCTTTAACTAAAAATGGGCGAAGAACTTGATGTAAGTAAAGATGAAAACAATATTTCGCCAATAACAGATGCAAATAACGGGGAGAAAAATGTTTTATTGCATCAAAAGGTCATTGAACAATTGGAGTATTATTTTGGAGATTACAATTATCCTAAGGATAAATTTCTCCAAGAGCAAATTTTGTTGGACGACGGATGGATTCCCATATCAACACTGATGTCATTTAAAAAATTGTCTGCAATTATACAATCAGACAAAAATGTTCTAGTAGAGGCATTTGGAAATTATAAAAATGATTTACTCGAAATATCAAAAGATAATTTGAAAATCAGAAGATCACCAGATAAGCCAGCACCTAAACTAACAGAGGATTATATTAAAGAAGTGCTGAATAGAACAGTGTATGTGAAAGGATTTTTTGCTGCAACAAAGTTTGATGAAATTAAAGATTTTTTTTCTAGTTACCAAACTGTTGAGAATATTGAGCAACGCTTTTTCAAAGACATTGTAAAATCTACAAGAATATTTAAAGGTAGCGTTTTTGCTACTTTTTCTACAAGACAACAAGCTATCAGTTTCCTGGGACACAATAGCATGTATTTCAAGAATCGATTAATAATCAGAATGTGGAAGGAAGAATATCTTGAAGTTAAGAGAATAGAAAGTCTTAAAAAGAAAATGTTTGAAACAGCTTCTTCCAACAAACTCCAAATTAAGATACCCACAGGTGCTATGTTTGCTATTGAAAATTTTACTTCAGTTGCAAATCGATTTGATATTAAAAATGCTCTATCAAAGTTTGGTCTCGATGTTGCTTTCGTGGATTTCAGAGATGATGGTAGTTCAGTTTGGATCCGTTTACATAAAGAAAATGAAGCAAAGGAATTTATCAATAAAATGAAAGGACTACTGAACATATTAGGTCAAAATGTTAATATTCGATTAATAGAAGGTGAAGAAGAAACTGATTACTTAAACAAAGTCAAAGGAATAATGCAGAACAGCAATTCTTTAAATAAAACTAAAACAAACCAACAAAATAAAAAACGTCAAAATGATAATAAAAGTAAACAAAATAACAAACGACAAAAAGTTGAATAATAAGTTGAAAATAATATAATTAATACATACATGAAATAAAATGCTTATAAATTTATATCATAGACATGTATCCAACAAGTGGAAAATTTAAGTTTATTTACATTCTAATATATATATATATATATATATATATATATATATATATATATATATAGTGATCACTTTAATTTTTGGTACCTATCAGTTAAAGAAAGATTTTTTTTTATACCTTTACCTTTCTTTTTCAATATATTTTTATAAGCATGTTTAAGATAATTGAAATATGTATATATATTACATATATATATTATATATAATATATATAATATATATAATAACATATATAAAATGTATACATTATATGAATGTTAAAAATTGTTATTTATAAAATATATATTATATGAGAATTAAAGTGAATTAAAATTTATTTTTAATTTAGTAAATTATTGGTGTGTAAGAATTCAAATAAATTTGGTAAACAACTCCAATATCATAATTCAATACTGAATATAAACAGCAAATTTCATAATTTAAATTGTACATATTTTCGAATTGTTACATATTTTTTAATTCTTTTACAATATCACAAAGTTAAAATTAATTCTAAATATTTTCGAACCTTTTCGATATTTTTAAGTACAAATTATGGTTTTCATCATTTCGTAATAACGTTAAGTCTGGTAATTAAATGTGCAGGTGAAGATTGATACTATTGATACTATATGTCTAAAAGAGGTTTGCTATGTTTGCAAAGTTTGCAATTATAATAAATTAAATATAATAATTAATAATTATTGAAAAATAATTTATTATTATTCAAGGCTTATGATTATTTTTACAAAAGTATTCAGATTAAGATCATGTTTATTTATCTATGATTAATATTATATATAACAAAAAAATTCAAGCCCTCACTGCTTTGAGGCGTTTGTTTGGAATTATTCGCGTTCGTTCGTGTTCCTGTTCGTTCTTCTTTGTATTTTCTTGCTCGACATGTTCGTTCGTTAGGTGTGGACGCACCTTTATATGAAGTAGAACTGCCAACTGTCAAACATTTGCCATCTCAAAAATAATTGCTGGAAACGCGAAAGTATATTTATTTCATGATAATCATATTATTTTTATCTAAGAATATAAATGTGAGACATATTTTAAAAATATAACAGTAAAAATATAACAAGCAAAAAAAGTTAGTAAATTTGAAAAATCATCGATATTTGGATGTTGAAAATATCGATAGTATATTATCGAAGAGCACAGAAGGTTAGGTTATGTGTTGCACGCTCAATGAGTCAAGATTGCGTTAATGTTTTAGTAGTACACGTGTTGTGAGGACTGTTTTTAGAATTATTAATTGTATTTTAATTGCATCAATACTTTATCTAGTGACAATGGCAGAGGAAAACGGTTCCACTGATACGAAAGTAGAAAACACATCTGAAACTGTAGCAACAGAGAAGACTGTCGAAGAATTAAAATCGGAGAACAAAGTAAGTGATGAAGAAATTTCAGATCTTGAAAAAAACATCATTCGCCAAGTTGAGTATTACTTTGGAGACAGCAACTTGCCCAGAGATAAATTCCTCCAAGAACAGATAAAATTAGATGATGGATGGATTTCTCTTACAGTTTTACTTACTTTTAAGAGGTTATCTAGCATGACCACAAATCAAGAGGTAATTGCTAAAGCTTTACTTAAGTCTACTAATGATCTCTTAGAAGTTTCTGAAGATCACTCTAAGGTCAGGCGTTCTTTGGCAAAGCCTGTTCCTGAAATGAATGAAGAAAGGCGTAAAGCATTGATGTCCAGAACTGTATATGCTAAAGGTTTTCCTTTAGATGCTAAGCTGGACAGTATATTAGACTTTTTTAAAGATTATGAGTTTGTAGAAAATGTTATAATGCGTACATATTTAGATAAAGTAAACAAAAAGTATTGTTTTAAGGGAAGCGTTTTTGCTACATTTGCCACTGAAGAGCAATCTAAAAAGTTTTTAGAGATTGAAAAAGTTACTTACTTAGACCAAGAACTGTTATGTATGTCACAGAATGATTACCACGAAATGAAAAAAAATGAAAGGTCTTCCGGTAAGAATAAATCCAAAAAAGCTGAAGAAGATACTAAAGAAGCTTTTCGTCCTCCTAATGGAACAGTAATTTTCTTAGAAGGCTTGCCAGAAAATGCAACTCGTGAAGATATCAAAGAAGTGTTCATTGAACTAGAGGCAGAAGTTGCATATGTAGATTACAATAAAGGTGATAAATCTGGTTGGATAAGGTTCCACAATGAAGACAGTGGTAAAGAGATTATTAAAAAAATAACTGATGGCAAACTCAAAATCTGTGATTCTGAAGTAACAGCTAGATTATTAGAAGGTGAAGAAGAAACAAAGTTTTTAGATAAAGTCGTTGAAGACATGAAAAATTACAGACAAAAACAATCACATGGCCGCAAGGGACGTGGTGGTAGAGGTGGTGGCAGAGGAGGTAGAGGTGGTTGGAATAACAGGAAACGCAAAGCAGATGGTGAAAATGGAGGTCCACCTGCTAAACAATAAATATCGCTGAAAAATATCATCTTTTTAATTTAATGTATGATAAGGACATGAAATTTATTTAATGAAAATATTTTATGTTGTAATAGTTGCTAATGTATAATTATAATAAATATGAATACATGTTATATCTGAATTTTTATAAAACAATTTTTTTTATTACATTTTCAAATTTAACTTAGCTATAAGAAATATTTTTGTCATATGATTCACATAATTAATAAGAAGTAATCTATGATTTGCTTTATATTCTTATTATGTTTTTATTTCTCAAGTACATCCTGTTTTTATTGTATTTTGTAATCTTCACCTTTTTACAATCCAGGATTGCTATTTTTATTTTCTATTCATATTTTTTTGCCAGAACATGTGAATCATTCTTATTGCTATTATTCTTTTGAATTTTTTAATAATCTGAACAGGTTTACAGTTATATATATATATATATATATATATATATTTAAATTCATTTTATTTTCATATTCAGAAAATCTATTTGCACAAAATTGTCAAGAACTTATTGATATTTTCATTAATTTGATAAGAACCGGATAATATATGTAAGATGATGACATTTTGCATAAAATATACTTTTTAGCTTTGTAAATTCATCTGACAAATATTTCCTTGGGATATATACCCAAAAATATCTAAGAATGAACATTCTACTGCAGGTTTAATTACATGAACATCTTTTTAGACTTATTCCTTTTTTATCACAAAGCAAATTACGTAATTTGACTGTTTTCCCTGTGTAATAAGTTATTAAAATTTATATTATAAATAATATAATAATTCTAATTGAACTATTCGAGATACATGCTAAAGTTTGGAAATTAATGACGAATGACTGTACGTACAGGAAAGGTTGTTCATCCCTGAGTTTCTCGAATATTAAATGATTTACATGTTTAGTTGATTAATACTATTCCTATGTAATTTGCTATAAGTTTTATGAAGCAGCTCAGATAAAATACTATTTATGTATTACACGAAGCCCCAATGAGGCCCCACAGCCTCAGAGTACATGTTCGACAGTTTTTCTTGTCTTGTGACTGTGACTGTACTCGTACTGTCAACATACTTGAAGTATGCAGTTTCATGCATGCAAACTTCTACATTGTCATTCTCGATCCCAAATGACTTACCTATTGTTTTCTTTAAGTAAAACAATGATTGTGCTAAATTAGCAAAAGCGTTCAGATTTTATAATTATAATTAGGAACTGTTGTTTTTAGTGACTTATTATCCAATTCTAATCAAAAATGACAGACACACCTGATAATGCCCGAATTACTACCATGGTTGAAGATGTTTTTGCAATAACATTAAACCCAGAAAAATTTGTGGACTGTGAACAAAAACCAGATTATATTCAAATGATTTATCTAGAAGAACTAGCAGAAAGTTTGAAACCGCAAAAACACATTGACATTGAGACTTTAGAACAAGCTCTTTTTGAAAGGTTGATGCTAACAAATATCACAGAATTTGTGTTACCAAAATCGAGTAAGCCCCCATATATAGATTATGTAGTTCAGAATAAAGCAATTCTCTATTTAAATACTGCTTATGAAAGACTTAAGAAGTACAATGCATCAAAAGACAAATTGTAATTAATATTGTGGAAAATATGAAATCACTTATTTTGCGTAATGTGTGTACTGCCATGGAGCAACCAGACATATTTCAAGATCAAGTAATTTGGCAGCAATGGTTTGATATTCTTAAGGATAATCTTGATAATTCGGATCAATTCCAGGTTTTGTTTTAGATGTTATAGCTGCCCTAGATAAGCAAGGTGATATACTAATTACAAACATATGTGTTACATATGAATGTATATATTAATGGTAATGGTATATATATAAATGACAAACATATTATTTTTGCTCTATATTAAGAATCTACAATGACACTTTTTTAAATGTTTTTATTACAACAATTTTTATTTGAACATCATGTTCAAATTACAAACCAATTATCTTTATTGATCTTCATTTGAATACCCTATTTTTACTTTAATTTTTCATTAATCTATTAGTTTCAAATGATTTTTCAACATTCTATATGTATAATCTTTAATGCAATCTTACTTTTTACACTATTGGCGTTTACATTGTTCACAATATCTCTGATTTTTTATATTGTTTTTTTTTTATATTAAAATATTACTTTTATCAAAAATATTACTTTTGTGTACATTGTACAAACATATACATGATATATGGTTTCCAAAATAGTTTTTGTTTCGAATATTGCATACATTTCTAAGGATTCTTCATAATTTACTTGAAAACTCAATGAAAGTACTGAAAAGACTATTTATGAAAGTACTGAAAGACTATTTACTTAACTATGAATAATGTTATTAGAAGACTATCATAGAAGAATACATTTCTATATGGTACTACTTAATCATATTTCTCTTTATTAGATAATGGTTTTGAAATATTGAAGGGAGCATTTACACCAATTCTCATTCATGTGCATAGAATGATTGCTGGAGCCAACTTGATAAACTTGGAATATTGGACATACACATTTGTTCTAACATTTGCCTCTCATATTTCTTTAGCTAAAGTTCTTTTAGAATATGCAACTCCGAAATCCAATGGTTTGTATCAAGATATTATATTTTACTTAATAAGAATATGTATTGTAATATAATGATTATGTTTATTTAGATGGTAGAGCTTATGCAGAAACAATATTTGGATCATTTTTGTCCTTATCAATTTTGCCCAAAAGTCCTTTTGCTCCATATGAATATTTTGAAAATCCACTAGAAATGGTATGATATAATATTATTATTGCTTCATTCCATTATAAATATATTCAATTTTTGCTTACATAAATAAAATGTTTATATAAAATATTATATTATTGTTATAAAGTTGAATATAATTTAATACCATGAAATGTCTTGATAGTTCAAGACAAGGTTTGAAGATATTATTAAAATCAAGAAGTTCACAAACTTAGGTATACTATTTTTTTGTATAAACCATTGTTATGAGCAGATTTTAAAGCTTTTAAATATTTTTCATGTTTTTCATCTATTTGTTCAATAACATTCTGTTAATTACATTTAGCAAATTCGAAATCCAATGGAAGGAACACTGTGGTCAGCATTGGAGAATCTAGGTGATCAAATGCATGGAATATTTTTAAAATTACTAAGATTAGGCGGTGAAATAAGATCAAAAACTTTGGATTGGTTAGGTGCTTGTTTACATAGTAACAACAGTAGGGGACAATATGGAGCACACAGGTAAAGATATTATTGTATTTTTCGATAAATCTTAAATAATTCAGATTTTAAGATAAATGATTTTATTTTTATGAAATTTGGATGGAATGTGTTTTACCATATTCTTTCAGAAAATGTAAAACAATTTTACATTATGTATCAAATGTATCTCAAGATGCTTTTATATGCTTCATACATTTGCAATTCGAGACACTGCAGTTTTAAGCCTTAAAGTATACTGCAACCACATTTTTATGATTTATTCTGATTAGAAATTAAATAACAATAATTTTAACAATAAGAAACAAATTTAACTAAGTTTTAGCTTAATCGGATTATTTTTATACCTGCAATGTAAAATTGGCTTAAATTTTTGCCCATGCAATTACTGTTTTACTGATGTATTGTTTCTGTTAAAATTGGATTCTAATTTTTATTAATTATCAAAATTCTCAGAAATAATTGCATGTTAAACATTATTCTTTAATTGAAATAAGTTAATTAATTTTATTCTGTAGATAATGGATATTGATCCAACATTAGGAACTTATGTTAGTGATGCATTTATGTTGAACATGGGTGCAGTGATGTTGAGAATGTGTCGCCCTTTTTAAGGATTACAGAGATGGCAAAGCTCTGAGGATAGACCCCACATATGGAGCTGTCGAGGTTAGTA